AATAACTTCCAAAAAGAATCCATAACCGACATTCTTGTTCAGTGAGCAGCCAGTAAAATTCTAGCGATTGCTCAGCATGGGCATTCAGAGAGTGTGGAAATAATAAGTTTCATTTTAGGCTTCACTTATGAGTAACAATTACGTTAATTGTGAAGGCGAATTTTAGTAATAGATACAAGGATATGCGATAGTATCTTGCTTGGCTCGCAAGTTGGCCGATAATCACATGATAGAATACGAGGAAGGCTACGCAAAAAGGGTAATATGAATAGCTAAACTGTTGGTTAGATATAAGGAAGACTCTTTAGTCATTGGCAGCATGACAAGGAAAGATGAGATAGAATAGATATAGTAAGTTGAGTAAGAACTACTTATGCTTGAGTGATAGACCTAAGAAGAGAAATAATGTTAGGCCATCGACAAAAAAGAAGATGTAGATATGAAAACCAAGATGATGTGGCCTTCTGTTTGGTCGCAGTCTCCTTTAGCTCTATAGTGTCGGTTCGACCTCGTTTTCGCAACTTGATCGAGGTGTCAGAGAGACTTTGTGGAACTCACCTAGCCATGCGTCATATACCTTGGTATTCGCAATTGCCAAGTGTTCATGATTTCCAAGAATTCGTGAATGTACCAAGTCGACGGTTCAATACTGAAAATTATGAATATTATGGCCGAGAAACACAGAAATAGGTATGCTTGATAAGGTATTTCTGATGCTCCAACTAAATTGCGAAAACGATTTCGAGCCAACAAAAAGTAAAAGACAGTCCAGCTGGTCAGTTTGTTGATGGCTATAGCTACATTCATAGAAATTAAGCACTTATAGTAAGCCCACCAACCCAAACCATACGGGATTATGCAATCACAGGCATTCTTATCCTTAGAAGTTGGTTGACCTCGTTTCCGCAACTTAGTCTTGTTGTCAGGGCGACTTAGTAGAACGCGCCTTGTCTGAAGTCCTCTGCCATAGTAGTTATCATAATTCCTAGCATCAGACCGTGGACTTGGTACATTTTCAGACGTTTCGCCGGCATCATCCGTGAGTCTTGCCATTCTCAGCCCCAAGCTACAACTCGTCAAATATAAAAGTGAAGTCAATTCCTTGATCAAAGTGTCCATTTGACAAGTTGACGCTTAGTGCAAGACTAATTTGTGATGCCGAATACGATGCCGGCGAAACGTCTGAGAATGTACCAAGTCCACGGTCTGTTGCTAGGACTGATGATAACTACTATAACAGAGGACTTCGGACAAGGTTCGTTCTACTAAGTCGCCCTGACAACAAGACCAAGTTGCGACAACGAGATCAACCCACTTTTATAAATCAAATGGAGATTGTTACCATACCTGGGGCCACACCATCTTGATCTTCATATCTCATTCTTTGCCTTAATTCAACAAGCATTGAGGACCCAGATCTGTCATTAAAATTAATAGTAATTAAGAGCTGTATTCACCCAAACCAGTATAAAGTGATGAGGAACTAATAGTTGGATTTTCCCACAATCATATTGGTAGGCTTTATATAACCTTATTTCCAAAAAGTATTAGAATAGCATAGTCTGAGTTATAAGAATACATCTAGTCCTTCCTCACCTTAGACGAAATAGTGTGAATACATCTCATATTACTGATTTACTGGTAGTCTCGAAACTCTACTCCAATACGAAAATGAGTTATAAGAGTACAGACGTGAATACACACACACACACAAATACGCATCTACTTTTATATTTATATATCTATATTTATATATTTTCGTTTTAAGCGAGCATATATAGCGTAAAAGGTAGACTAGTCTCTTGACTTTGTGTTAACATAAAGCCATTGCAAAAATGAGTTCCAGCTCTGGCAACGTCTGTCAGGTAGCTTAACGGATGAAAGCTAGATCTGTTATATCAGGACCGAAAATGGATGTTTCGTGGACTGGGCCAGCTTGAACGTTCTGGTAGAATCAAATGGCGGATCAGCTTTCGTTTTCTGGAGAGATCTTCCTACAAATCTCCTCATCAGGCACTTTTACATTAGAAATGAAAGTCACCAAAAAATGTTATTTCGAGAGATACCTCGAAAGCCAGTTATTCTTCCTATAGTTCTTTAAATTTAAACGCTTCGATAGCCCCGTAAAGGTTACATTTTTCTTATAAAGTATGCTTATTAAGTGAGTTTCCGATGGCTACAAATCTCTTCATCAGCAACTGGGTAAGGGAAGGAAGGTTTTTTATTGTTGACCAACTGCAAATAAGTGAATATTTGCCTAATTGAACATATTTTTTATAGCCCGCTTAACATGTTCTTTCCTCGGCCAGAACACGACTCACCCAGCCTCGATGTAGTGGTGAATGGCGCTATCAAGCTGATGGTTCTTCACCAAGTAATCGGCCCATTCTGCCTCCAAACGCACCACATCACTCGGAAAAGAGACACGGGCCAGGTCGACGGCTCGTTGGTAGGCACCCGCTTTGCGATAGTACTGCATTGCCTTGTCTGGTTGCCCCAGCGAACGATAAATGTCGCCGGCTTTTTCAAAGAGTTCAGCCTGTACCAATGCCTGGAAGGAAGGAGGAGTAGAGCAGAGTATTAGACGAGAAAATGCGATTATTAGATTGTATTAGAGATTTATCTTTAGGCCTGAGATAACTTCAATTGCATGCCTATTAACATTAAAGTTGAATTACTTTCTTAACTCACCAAAGCACTTTAACAATGCAATACATGCATTGTCATATGCAGGCTGACCCTAATAGTACGATGACTGCTGTATAAGAACGATTGCCACCGATCCAGAGTCTGATAGATGAACTGTCAATGATGAAACGAGGAGAGGGCTTCATTTTCATTTAGACTTACTTCTCTAAAAGGCCTTTTCTTTCAAGGAAAATTTCATATTTGATCCTGTCTCGGTCTCATGGGATCATTGGCGTGATTGGTAACCAGATTTTTTGCGCCAAGTGGTACCACATCCAAGATCGGCCTCAGAGCCCTAGGCCCGATAAGTCTGTTAGAACCTGCGACTGTTGAGGTACGATAGGCCTTTCTCAATCCACTCTTTTGGGTACCGGTATTGGGAACTTTTATTTGCCATTAAGCGCAACATTCGACCTACACACACTCGATCTGTGGGGATGAGTTGTAGCATGGCGCCTCTTGGGGTGGATGAACCGACTTTGCATCCAATTAGGAGTTCTAGTGGGGATGAGATCAGGCTGAAGCACCAATCCACCCACCGACTAGAAAGGATTAGAAAATAAGATGAATTTTTAAGTCATCAAATTTAATCAAATGCAGATCCACTGACAGACATAAAATCATCCATAAGAACTATACTCAACCTATGTCACATAAGTTGAAGAAAGACTGATGATTAAATTTTCCAACAATTAGATTAATAAGCCTCACGATGACATTGAATTCAACTTAGTCTTACTTCCATAAAGGTATTCTCAACCCGACTGGAGTTAACTGCAGTCTCGATCAAGTCTTAGTCATATCATATATGAAAAGAAAAGTTGGGTTTCAAGGAAACTCTTGTTTCATAATTGTTGAGCTTACTTCCATTTCGAGCGAAAGTTGTAGGTGAAGAGATTTGAAGGTCGGTCCCACCAGGATACAACGGCGGATTCCTCTTTAACAGCTGTCGATTGGCTTTACTGGAAGATTCATGCTGGCACTGTTTCCGAGGTAATCTTCTTCGATTCCGGTGAAAGGTACTAAGCTTTCGTCAGTAATATGACAAACATCATCAGAGCAAGGTATCATCGTCACAGCAAAATTCAAGCCAACTAGTCGAGAAAACTCACCGGAAAATCCCTAAAAAGTGATTAGAACCAAAACAAGGACTAGACTATCCTTTTCTCAGCTATTTTCTCAAGAAAACTTTCTCAAATTGCAAAAAATGGCGGACGGTTTGGCGGTTAGGATGGATAAGATCCATAGGTCCGACATGATAAGAAATTAAGGAACTTAGGCAGAAACGTTAGCCAAAGGAATTGTCGAAACAATAAGGAGGTAGTTAAACTTAAGACTATTTTTTTCTAGCAAAAATAAAGTCATTAATTTATCCAGTATATCTATAGATACTAATTTTACGCTCGTCTTGGAAAGAGGTTTAAATTTGGCATTTCCAAATGAGCAAAATCATTATATGGAGATACTGGTTGAGTTAATTAACCTAACGGACAAGCTGCCAGAAGAGGCTAAGAATATTATAGAAAGAGAAGTGATTCCTCATTTTGATGAAGTTATTATTACAAAGAAATCATATGACTTGAATAAAGCTTCTAGATATTTGCACCAAAATGATCTGCTTGTTTCAAAGGCAGATTAAGGTAGTGCAGTGGTCATCGTGGATAGTTTAAGCTATATATAAAAAATGATGGTTTATTTAAATGACTCAGAAGCTTACAGACTTTCAGTGAAAGATCCCCCAGAAAGTCTTAAGGCCAGACTTAGGGAATCGCTTAAATGTTTTTGTAAGCAAAGGAGAAATCGAGAAGTGGAAAATGAATTCATTTCTTCAGAGGGATGCTAGGGCACCTTCGGCTTACGGCCTCCCAAAAATACACAAGGAAGGAGTTCCTTTAAGATTGATTGCTAATAATAAGGGTACTGGGATGCATAGGATCTCACGTTTCTTATGTAGACAACTAAGGAAATTGGCTGAGTATAGGAAATATTCAGTGAAGAATCTATATGAATTTGCTAGATTAATAGATCAACAGAGTATTAAAGAGGAGGATCTTTTGATTAGTTTTGATGTGGTATCAATGTATACTAACATCCTGATTCATAAAGCTATTGAAACACTTACACTCAGCCTAGATGAGCACCCAAGGAGGCAAATCTGAGCAAAAGCTCAATCCTAAGACTTCTAAAACTTTGCATGAGAAGCACATACTTCATCTTTAATGATAAAGTTTATGAACATATGCAAGGCCTCGTAATGAGATCTTGCTTGGCTCCCATTTTGGCTAATAATTACATGTCAAGAATGGAGGAACACTACATGGAAGAGGTAAGTTTGAAACCCAAACTGTTAGTTAGGTATATGGATGACTACCCTGCCATATGGCAGCATGGCAAGGATAGTTTAGATAATTTCTTGTTCTTAATTAACCCGATTGACTGCAATGTTAAATTGACAATGGAGATGGAGATCAACAATAATTTACCCTTTTTAGATGTATTTGTGATCAAAGCAGGTGAGAATTTAAGCAGGGATGTCTACAGAAAGCCAACACATGTTGGCTTTATACGTAACTTCTTCTCCAATCATAGCTACAAAACAAAGGTTGGAGTTTTAAAATCTATGATTATTCGGAGCATATGACTAGCCGATTTAGACCATTGTGACAATGAGCTGAATCGGCTTAAAATAATATTTCTTGAGAATAACTATCCCCTAGGCTTGATTGAAAATAGCATTAGATTAATAAACAATAGCCTT